GGAATTTCTGGATATGACAGTTTCCATGTAATTGATATACAATTTTTTACTACACAAACTCCATTTTTCTCAAATTTTAGCTCACCTATTTCTATTCCTGTTTTAAGTTCTACTTTTCTAGCTATAATAAAGCTATCTGTATGTATATGTTTTATTTGATCTCTTAGTAGCTTTACAATTTCTGATATTCTTTTTCGTGCAGATACTAATAAGAATAGTTTTATTCGTGGATGTAAACCATAATTTTGATCATTTTTTTGCTCACATAATACATCCCATAATGAAACTAATAATGCTTTACTAACTTTTCCTTCTATTCCATCTTCTTTTTTAATTTTGTATAATATATTACCCCATTCACCAAACATGTCTTTTTCTGTTATATGTACATTTCTTTCATAAATAAGTGCATTTGGTAATATATTCATTAATGTTACTTTTAATCTATTTTTTCGCGCACATTCTAAATCATAATGTGTGTAAATTCTATGTGGATTATAACATAAATATCTCGTACATTGAAGACTTTTCTTTAGAGGATTTCCTTCTATTGTTGCTTTATAAATTCTATATGGAAATTTACTCCATTTTTCTGTAAAAGATAAGTTTATAGTATAAAACTTACCTGATACAATTGGCCATGATGCATCTTTTTTTATCATTTCAAATATATATATTGAATTTATATCATATTGATTAGCTTCTCCTTCATATCTTTCTGCAAATATTAAAGCACTAGTTGTTGCTAAATCTATCCATGCACTTTCTTGTTCACTTATTTTTTCACTTTTTTGAGGTGCTAAAGTGGTTTCTTTGAAAAATTTTATAGTTGTTAATGTATAATTTCTAGATTTACGCATATCAATTCTACTATTAGTTTTTTTAGCAATAGCTTCAGACTCATCATTAATTCTTTTGTATGCTTCCATAATTGTTTCTCTATTATTTGCTTTAATAAAATAATATTTGTTATGTAATGTACAAAAATCTTCTTTAACTCCATACCATTTTCTTTTCCTATTATAAAACTCAAATCTATTTGCTATATTTTTATGAATTAAGATAGTTTTATCTTAGTAACTCATGCTATTTTGCTTTGAATTAGATGATACAAAGTATCGAGGATATTGAGCTTCGAGTCTTTGACTCATTTCTGATTCTCTTATCTGGGGGTCATCTGCTAGTGTACTTGCCTTTCTCAGCTGAAGTGTTAGTAGGTTTTCATCAAACGATATGAGATCACCTTCAGAAGTTGCTGATGGATTTTGCTCTGGAGTAACGTTTTCAGTTTGAGGTGTATTTTGCTCTGGAATAACGTTTCCTACATTTTGCATTATAAGCAAAGCTAGTTGGCATTGTCTTTTATGAAGATTTCTATTTAAATTCATATGTTTATTAAGATCTTGAGTTTTACCAGTTTTTATTACTCGATCACAACCTGGATATTTAAGTATCTTAGCTATAGTAATATGTTTTTTCAGTGTTTTTTATTAATATATCAGATCTTTTGTTTAAATAAAAGATTATTATGCTCTGCTTCGCTCTGCAACTGCGTCACTCACACCTAAGATGTATACTCCTTAGTGTTAAGAAACTAATTGTAAATTAAATAGATAACTAATGCTATGCTACGCTTTGCATTCAGAGCTGCTATGCTCCTCCAGTACAAAAAACTAAATAGAAATCAAATATGATAACTATGCTCTGCTTTACTCTGCAACTGCGTCATACAACCTTAGGAAGGTATACTCCTTAGTAATAGAAAGCTAAATAGCTATCGAAATAGATATCAAAAAAGTACACTAAGTGTGTAGTATATATAAAAATACACCATTCATGTAAGTTTTTTATATGTTATATATAAGTTATATAAGTTATCAAGAATACGTTAAAAACTTGAAAAAAAAACAAGAAAGAATAATGTTATCAAAAAAAATACAACTGTGTATCTAAAAAGTCTACTAATCTATTGCTATTCTTTTTTTAGATTTTGGATTGATAATTTGAGTCCTGTGAGTCTGTAAATACAACATAGACATCTACTTTACTTATTTATCAATAAAAGAATAATTAAAGTGAGTCCTGCAAATATAATGAAGTTGAAACTACTACTATATTGTAATTATAGGACTCGCAAACTCAAAAAAAAGAGATCGTCAATTCAACTAAAATGAAAAGTAATCTAATCTGAAGATAAAATGAAAATGATTCTTTGTATAGCATTTTTTTACTAATTTAAGAAAAATATATCATAAAATATTAGATTTAGTTGTATCTAGTTATTTCTAATTATAGGTAGGTTTTTCTCTTTTTAATTTTCGTATTCCTATCTATTCATTATCCTTTTTGTTTTTTTAGAACTTTCAGATACACCTCTTTCATATAGAAAACTATTATTATTATTAAAGATCTCAAAAATGAATAATGACTACTTTTTTCATAATTTTATAATTTTCAAAAGTTCTATGCACAGAAATATATATAAGCATCTTAAGTTATTATTCTATGAACTACCTTTCTCTTAATTACTCTCAATTTTTTTTTTTTTTTTTAAAAAAAAAAAAGAAAATCTTTCTGTCAAACTGCTCGTTTGTTTTTTATTATATATTTTCCTATTATTATTATTAACTATTCTATATATTTGATATTTAGATAATGAATTCTAAAACTTTTAGTCTCTTTTGAATTCTCATGATCATTTATTTTACTGTCACTTTGGCATATTCATCTAAACACCTCTTTCGTCATCAAAATTCTGCTTGTACAGGTACTATTCCTTGTATGGCAAAATGTGGAAGCTGTACTACCAATACTACGTCTTGTACTTTTATAAATGATGCTACTTTTCAATGTAATGGAATACTATCTAGTACTTCTTATGGTACTCCTCCTTTCCAATATAACTTTAATTGTGAACCTACTTGTAACTTCACTTGTACCAATTGTACTTATAATAGTAGTAGAAGAGGTAAATTATGCAACCAGTGTGTTTAGATCTTTTTTTTTTCAATTATAATTTTTCTTAAAGGCTTTTTTTTTAAAATATAATTCTTTTTATAATTTGTTCAAACTTATCATTTATACTTCTGTAGCTATCGTTAATTTAAAAAAAAAAAAAATTATTTCAAAAAAAATTTTTTTTATTAATCGATTATTAATTATTAAATTTGCATATTCTTTTGTTTAAAGCTACATATTTAAAGGCTTTGTATAAATACTTCTAGTCATTCTTATGATTAATGCATTTGTTGGATAACTGGCCAAATTTTTAGTTTGATATTTATAAGTTTGCTATATTTTATTTTATTTATTTTATTACTTTTTTTTTCTTTTTTAAACCAAAATTTTAGTTTTGCTATATTTTATTTTCTAACTTATTTATTTATTTTATTTTATTTATTTTATTACTTTTTTTTTAAACCTCAATTTTGGTTTTGCTATATTTTATTTTTTAACTTATTTATTTATTTTATTTTGTTTATTTATTTTATTACCTTTTTTTTTTAAAAAAAAAGCTCAATTTTGTCCTAAATCTGTTATATACAATACTGCAATAATCTTCTTGGTATTGCTATAAAAATTTTATTTACATGTGATTAATGCCAAAATTATTCATTTTAAGTATTATTTTGGAGTTATTTGTTAATAAAATATATTAAAATTACTCAATAAAAATCTTTTATTAACGTATAATATGCTTATGTATAAGCATTATTTTGAAAACTTCACTCATTAAAAAATCATATTTTGATTCAAAAGATGTTCATATATTTCTTGAAATAACTCCTACTTTAGATTAACTTATATTAACGAATTTATTATGTATATTAGGTTTAAAATTTTTTGGCCCTTTTTAAATTATAAACTAGTATAATGAGATTTCAGAAATTTTAATTTATAATTTATCGTATTATTTTTTTTTTTTAAAAAAAAGACCATATATTATTGGGTATTTTACGTACTAATTAATCAAAACTATGCAAGATGCTATAATAATATAACTACTATAAGATTTTATGCATAAAATTGATCGACAAAATTGCATATCGTTACTAGTAATCTACTGTATTAGTAAAGATTAGTGTTCAACAAATTAATAAAAACAGTGTACTAACGATTTTTTTCTAGCAATCTTTGTAATAAACAATTAATGTAATTTAGTCAAAAAAAGTTACGGTTTAAAATTTTTAATTTATTAACAATTTTAAAATATAATATTAGCAAGAATTTCTTCTTCTGTTTAGTTATATGTTCTAGCTAAAAAAATATAAGTATTTATCAGCATTTGTCACAAATTGGTTTTTCTAACTGAAAATCTAAAATTGTAACTTTGACAAAAGTCTTATTATAAATATTATATATTAAGTTTTATTGTAAACTTTAAGATAGTTTTAATACCAGGTCTTTTTAAACCTCACTTATATTGAATTTTTTTAGTTAAACGTAGTTTTTGAAATTCTATTGGCTAAATAATATATAGCTAGAGTCTTCTAGATCTACATGGATGCATAAATACGTAAAATCTATACTATTGATTTTTACTATTGTATCTTATATAATTTTGATTAATTAGTGTATGAAATACCCCTAATATATTACGCGCAATTAAATTAATTGAGTATTATTTATTATTTAATAGAACTCTGAATAAGTGGTATTTGATTAACTAATTAAATCAAACCTATATTAAAACTGGGTACAGCTGTGAGTCAGTTGCTTGATAATTTAAATACTTGTGTAACTTACAGTAGGCTTTACTGGAAAGAGGCATGTTAGGTTTGGCGAGTTAGTTGGTTCCGTAAGTAGGTCTTTCTATTATCCAAGTAATTTCTTTCTTTCTACTTCGAGTAAGCTAGAGAAGGGATCTAAGCAAGAGATTGGGTTAGGGTAATTTAACGATATTTATTTGCAATTTATTATGAGTTATTTATTTATGTATTATTTAGTTATCATATCATGTAAGGGTCAGGTTATTCTTTTAAATAAAGCGAAGTTGGGAGATGTCTCTCTTCTAGGGCCTTTACGGTATTTATTTATAATGAAATTCTTTATTTACATTCGTGGAACTACTCTGCCATTAAGCGTTATACTGGCTATATTGCCTTTTTCCTCCTTACTAACTATCTAGCTATCTAGGTCAGAAATACCTCCCCTGCCTTTGTAGCCATTGTAGCCGGAACTGCTAGTGCAGCTCGGGAAGCCTTAATTTGGAGTTGCTGAGGTCACATGCCATATAACTTTGCTAGTAACAATATGTAGATTCTTTTCAATAGAAATTTATTATATGAAAGTGATAAATTTTTGAAACTTAACTCCTCTCGTAGGATTAATTCTTTGAATTTAAGAAAATTATAAAACAGAATAAAAAAGCATGCTTTTTAATTTGTTATGAAGATTTTTTTTTTTGCATTTAAATATATATTTATAGAATATTACTGTAAAATTTTAAATGCAAAAAGAAAATTCCTCATGACAAATTAAAAAGCATGCTTTTTTAATATGTTTCATATTATTCTTAAGTTTAAAGAATTAATATTGTGAGAGGAGTTAGATTTCAAAAATCTATCACTTCTGTATAATAAACTCCTGATATCTATTTGTGTAACAATATATCTGTATTTAAAAGTTTAATAAGAAGCTGTGTTAAATTTTTTTTAAAACTTTGAACGAAGATATCAACACAACCACCTGATCAAATTTGATGAAAAATTTTTTATTTGAATTCTACAGACCCATAGAATTCAAATAAAAAAAATTTATCAAATTCGATCAGGTAGTTAGCCCAAAATTAGTAAACAATTTAAAACATTTATTAAAATAGAAGCTATATTGCGAAGATATCACAACAACCTTATCTTATCAAATTCAATGAAATTTTTTTTATTTAAATTCTAGAGATCCATAGAATTCAAACAAAAAAAAATTAATC